ATGTGTGTAGGCAAAATTACCCAAAATATGAAAGTAAAATTAGAAATGTTCCTAGAAAAATATTTTAGACCATAGGGTAAAGTTTGGAAGTGAACAGAGTTAAATACATAGATGAGTTTTTACCCTATTAAAGTGACTCACCCTATGTTAAGAGTGAGAGGGAGAGAAAACCAATTAAAGCCATGGTTATATTTTTTTATTCTATTTTATTTTTTTATCTTTAACTTGTTATAATTAATTATTTTTGGTCCTTTTAGTAAAAGAAAAAAACAAACTATTTCTATAGTAATAACCAATCAACGAATTTCATTACGCCCGCTAAAAAAAATCTTTGGAATTGACTGACGTGTTCTGATACAGATGAAAATATGAGATACCTAGCTTTCTCATTTCTCATCCAAATCAACTCATTCCAAAGCCAAAACTACTTAGAAACTTTCCCTCTTTGTGAATCCAAGTTTAGTTGAGTGGGAAGCTTTGTGGAGAGAGATATATCCTTTCTAAGAATTCAACCCACTTGGTGATTGGAGGAGTTTAATGGCATTTTCTTCCATGGGATCTTAAGTGATCGTCATTCCTTGGTTGTATGATCTTTTGGAGTAAGTTTTCACTTTTCAAACCTTGTTTCCATGGATATTGCATGAGGTTGAAGATGATGAATAGTGATTTTGTGAGTTGTATGAGTTTAAGTTAGATTGGTGCTAAATCTCTTTGTAAAAATTAATAGGAATGATGAATAAATGGTAGAAATGGATTTAGATTGTCATTTAAGTTATGTTCAATATTTTGGAAAAATTCATGCTTAAAATGTTGAGTTTCTTGGATTTTTGAGTCATTGGTTGGTTGATGTTTGATTTGTGTCCATTTTGGTGCTAGGATTGAGCCAATTGGAACAATTGTGAGTGACCAACCATTAGGGGAAGCAATGGAGGTTGATTAGCTCATTGAGATTGGTGTTTCTTGTGAGGTTGTTGTTGATAATTGTAAAGCTTGATTGTGCACATTGGTGGTGAATAAAGGTTAGACTTGAAGCAAATTAAGATAAGCCTTCGGACCTTGGGAATTGATCCCTTTATTGTTCCACCAGGCCCTGAAGAGGTTGTGGTTATTGATAGTGTATGTAGTTGCGACAAAGTGATTTAATGCTTTGTTATACGTATGTGTATGCACTGGGTGTGACACATGATGGTGTTTCCCTATGGTTTGCATCTTGCATGACGATTCCTAATTCATATTGTAGATTCTCTAGCCAGTAGAACTATTTGCATCTGAGTATCCTTAGGACAGTATGAGAGCTCGAGGGATGTCTCCTAAAGTTGTTTGACACACTGCATATATATATATATATATATATATATATATATTTATTTATTGCATTATTTACTGTTATTGCTATTTGATATGCTTTTAGCATTTATAGTTTTCTAAGTTAAAAAGAACAAGGATTTAATCCACTTTGAAAGAAAAGGCTTATATTTGTTATAAAGTTGATAAACTATGCTCAGTTTTTCTCTCACTGAATTTCTGGTGTTTTTGTAGAAAAAGTACTAGAAAAGAGCTCACTCAAAAGCACAAGAGAAAGCAAAAGGCAGTGCTTCCGTGCTACAAGCGCGACAATGGCGTTATCAGAACCAAAAATTATTTCCACACAGAAGTGCCATGCTACAAGCGCAAGATCCGCGCTAGTAGCGCGAGATTGAGATGCCTTTGTTATATATGTCGCGCTAGTAGCGCACGAGAAGCACGTGACTATTTTAAATGGATATCAAATTACATTTTAAGGATGATTCTACACCAAAGATTTGACAAAGATTTCGACAGATTTGACATTAAGCTATAAAAAGGGAATGTAAATCCTTATTAGTCATCTTTGGCTGGAGACTTGAGAGAGATCAAGAAATTGAGAGAATTCATGGAGGCTTATGCTAGAGATCAAGATTTTAGAGAAATTGAAGACTGAAGACCTTTGATTCTTCTTCTTCTCATTCTTTGCTTTCGTCTTAATGAATTCTTTTTACTTCTTTATTTTGTTTGAGCCAGCTATGTCTAGCTAGTTTTCTTTTGTAGTAAGGTCACACACATGATGTGAACCCATTTGGTATTTTAATTATTTTTATAATTCTTTTATTTCAATCAGTTTTATTTTACCTTAAATGAAAATTATATAACTTTATTACAACTGATCACTCTTATAGGGTTTCTGAGGGTTAGAGCTTACAATAGATATATTGGGATTTTAATTCTGACTGGAGTAAAATAACAATTTGTGCATGATATAGACATAGGTTTGTACGAATTGCAGACTTCTTAATTCATTGAACTTAATGCTTAATTCAAGAAATATTACTAAGACATTAGAATTTTAATTGGGTTAAAAGGTTAAATACACTAAGCCATTAGGGTTTAACCAATTAATTTAAAGAAGATGAATTGTCTGAACCATTGAGATAATTAATTATAAGAATTAATTCATATTAAAAAGGGGAAATCAAAGGTGAAGTGTTCCCTAGCTACAGTTTTTTATTAATTACAATTCTTCAATCGTTCTTCAATTATTCTTGCATGTTCTTGATTGTTCTTGCAATTACTTTTCGTTCTTTTTATTTTTAAATCAACAATTATTCTCAATAATCAAATCAAATTGTCCAAATTAAAGGGAATAATTATGATAGTATTTGGTGCCTCAATTCTCATGGGATAATAACCTTTCTCACTACTCTAATACTTGAAACGATTGGTATACTTGCCGAAATTGCAATCAACGAAATTCTGAAAGCTCGATTTATTATGATTTTTGCAAGTCAGGTCGTTTGATATACATTCACTGATTTTAACTCTCGCCTTACGAGTTATGTTTCGAGGGGAAAACGACCTTCAAATTACTATTATTTTATATGAACGCGAAGCCCCGGATGTCTAGTTTCTAGATTACAAAGAATAGTTTTTTCAATCGTTGAAGTGAATTTTATACGAATTTTTAAAGACAGCAAGGTCTGCCAGGAAAGTTATAGTTTCAGTAGTTGAGAAATTTGGAAAGTATACTCTGATTTTTGTGACGAACCCGATTTCAATTATAAGTTTTTAATTGGCATTGTAAAAGTGATTTTCAGTCTCTAAAATATGATTAAAGAACTCTAATCCGCTTAGCAAACAACTCTCTTGGATGCATACAAGGGGGGGTGTTACACTAATTGGTAACCGTTGCTAGGGATTGATTACGCCAATATTATTCATAGCTTTCGATCTTTGAGTTTAGGCTTTATTTTTATTTTTACTGATTTGATTTCTCTTGTTTATATGAGGTAAATGATATCTTGAATCTCTACAGTTTGATCCAGAAATAGAGAAAACTGCAAAGAGGAAGAGAAAACTCACCAAGCAAAAGTAACAAGTAGAATCCTCAAGTTCACAGACAAATGCAGATGCTGAGATGGCTGGAAATAATCTGCCACCTCTTGAAGAAGAATTGATGGAGTCAACTCTCACTCCTATTTTCACAAGGTCTAATTCGAGTATTGCCAGACCAACAATTGTGGCTAACAATTTTGAAATCAAGTCAGTACTGGTCTTATTGGTTGAGCGATCTCCATATCCAGGAGAAGATGCAGAAGCTCCACATGAGTTTCTTGACATATTTCTGATGATCTGTGATACCATAAAAAATAATGGGGTGTCACATGATGCACTGATGTTGCGATTGTTTCCTTTTGCCGTTAAGGGGAAAGCACTCAGATGGTTAGAACAACAACCAGCAAATAACATCAGTACTTGGGAGGATTTGGTTGCCAAATTCTTAGCCCAGTTCTTCTTGATGACGAAGTACAACCGGTTGGTGAATGAAATGACTAATTTTATTAAGTCTGATGGAGAGACTTTGTGTGCAGCATGGAAAAGGTTCAAGGAACTTTTGAGAAAGTATCCTCTGTATGAGTTGCATCCCTAATAGAAAGTTCATATATTCTTGAACGGGATGACACCAACTTCAAGAATGGTTGTCAATGGTGCAGCTGGAGGATCTATCAGGTGACAAACACCCACTCGGACTCTAGAGTTAATTGAGTCTATGGCATGAATGGAAAATGAAAGTATAGCAGCTCAATCAAAGAGAGGAGTTCTCCAGTTAGAAAGTAATGATGCCATGTTAGCTGAGCAGAAGCTTATCTCACAGCAAATTGCTATTTTGAATAGCAAGTTTGAAAAGCTTCAGCTTCTATAGCTCAAGCTAAATCAGTATCCCGCGAATACTGTCAAGGAAAGCATGAGACTAATGAGTGTAATGTACTCATAGAAGCAGATCCAATTCAAGTTAATGGGATCTGGTATGATCAGCGAACTCAGTATAATCCTCCAAGGAATCAGAACAATGCTTTGGGGAATACTTTTAACCCCTTATGGAAGAATCAAGGAGGTCTGGACTAGAAGTCAAGTCAATATTTGCAACCTCCACCATTTCAACAGAATCAACCTTCTGAGTTAGAGAGAGCCTTGTTGCAGTTGACAAAGACCACCAATGAACACATGCAGACAAAGTCTCATCACAAGAATAGATATGCTTCTCTCAGAAACATGAAAAACCGAATTGGGCAATTGTCAAGACAATTAGCTGAGAGGACTCAAGGCCAGCTTCCGAGTGATACTATAGTCAATCCGCGAGAGCATTGCAAGGCAATCACTATAAGGAGCGAAATTTTAATTGCACCTCAAGAGAAGGCAAAAGTGGTTCAAAAAAAGGTAGATGATGAGCTCAGTAAGGAAGAGGAATAAGAAAAAAAGAAGAAGAAACACCTGCAAGCAAAAATGAGCCAGTTCAGAAAGACAAGGGAGAGGTAAATGAGCAACCTTCTGAAGCTCCGAAGAAGCAATGAGGTTTCTCTCGCTTTGAGAAACCTCCTTATCCCATAGAGCTCAAGTAACAGGTACATAAGAAATAGTATGCCAAGTTTTTAGATGTATTAAAAAATTTGCAAATTAATATTCCTTTTCGTAAAGCTTTAGCTAACATGCCTAACTATGCTAAGTTTATGAAAGATTTATTGTCTAGAAAGAATAAGTTACAAAAATTTGAGACGGTAGCTCTCACGGAGGAGTGCAATGCTATTATTCAGAAAAAGTTCCCACTTGAGCTCAGAGCTTCAGGGAATTTCAACATCCCAATTGCGATAGGCAACATTAATGTTGGTTGGGCATTGTACGATCTTGGAGCAAGCATCAACCTCATGCCATTGTCAGTGATGAAGTCATTGGGAATTTCTGAATTGAAGCTCACTATGGTCTCTTTACAACTTGTTGATCGGTCTTTGAGAAGACCAAATGGATTTTTTGAAGGCGTTCTTGTCAAAGTTGACAAGTTCATCTTCCCTGCAAACTTCGTGGTCTTAGACATGGAGGAAGAAGGAGATATGCCCCTTCTCTTGGGTCAGCCATTCTTAGCCATAACTAGAGCTATGATAGATGTGGAGCAAGGAAAATTATAGATGAGGATGGATGATGAGACAGTCACCATTAATAGTTTTGATGCAATGAAGCAAACAACTGATAAGGATGACTGTTTCAGAGTGGATGTACTAGAAAAAAATGGTTGTGAGGAGAAATCCGATGATAAAATCCTTGAAGAAGAGATGAAAGCTATAGACAAGGATTATCCACAAGAAAACTCTGAAGTTACATTAAAAATATTAGAGACAAAGGAATCAGACATAATGGTGGGAACACCAAAAGTAGATTTGAAAGAGCTACTGGATACTCTTAAATATGTGTTCTTGGGTGATAAAGACACATGCCTTGTTATCATCAACAAAGGTTATCCATTGTTGAAGAGGAAAATTTATTAAAGGTGCTCAGAGATCACAAGACTGTCATAAGATGGTCTATTTCTGACTTGAAGGGTATTAATTCCTCTTTCTGCACTCACAAGATCCTCATTGACGATAACATCAAACCTACGAGGCAACCTCAAAGAATACTCAACCCCACTATGAAGGAGGTAGTCCGGAAGGAAGTAGTCAAGCTTTTGGATACTGGCATGGTTTACCGAATCTCAGATATTACATGGGTAAGTCCAGTTCAGACCATTCCAAAAAAGGTGGAGTGACAGTAGTGCAAAATGATAAGAATGAGTTAATTCCTACTAGAACCATAACTGGCTGGAGAATGTGTGTGGATTACAGAAGACCGAATGATGCCATAATGAAAGATCACTTTCCACTTCCGTTCATTAATCAGATGTTAGAGAGATTAGCCAGTGCTTTTTACTATTTCTTGGATGGATACTCTGGCTACAATCAGATTCCAGTGGCACCAGAAGATCAAGAGAAGACTGGTTTCACGTACCTGTTTAGAGTCTTTGCTAACCGGAGAATGCCATTTAGCCTCTACAATGCACCTGCCACTTTCCAATGGTGCATGCTTTCCATCTTTTCTGATATGGTAGAAAATGCTTAGAGGTATTTATAGATGAGTTCTCTGTATTTGCTTCTTGTTTTGATTCATTCTTAGATAATTTGTCTAAAGTTTTGAAAAGATGTCAAGAAACAAATTTAGTTCTAAACTGGGAGAAATGTCATTTTAGGGTAAGAGATGGAATAGTCTTAGGCCATAAAATTTCTGAAAAAAGGATAGAAGTCGATCGAGCTAAGCTGTTAATGATTGAAAAACTTCCCCTTCCTGTTAATGCTAATGGTATTCGAAGTTTCCTAGGCCATGCATGTTTCTACAGGAGATTTATTAAAGATTTCTCCAAAATTGCAAAGCCCTTGAGTCAACTCTTGCTGAAGGATGCTGACTTTGTTTTTGAAGAAACTTGTCTTACAACTTTTAATGTGTTGAAGAAAAAGGTCACCACAGCACCATTTCTGATGGCACTGGATTGCAGCCTTCCTTTTGAGCTCATGTGTGATGCAAGTGTATACGCAATAGGAGTTATTCTTGGTCAGCATAAGGATAAATTGTTACGTGTTGTTTACTATGCTAGCAAGGTTTTAAATGAGGCACAAATTAATTATGCCACAACTGAAAAAGAGATGTTAGCTGTAGTTTATGTATTAGACAAATTTAAGCCTTACTTGATTGGTTCCAAAGTCATTGTTTTTACTAACCATGCTACTTTGAAGTATTTAATTACTAAGCAAGATGCAAAGCCACGCTTGTTTCATTGGATGTTGTTGTTTTAGGAGTTTGATTTGGAAATCCGAGATAAGAAGGGAGTAGAAAACAAAGTGGCTGATCATTTGTCAAGGATTCAAGACAAAGAACTGCAAGATGGGCCTGAGATAGAGATCAAGGAGTCTTTCCCTGATGAGCAAGTGATGGAAATCCTCATTGGCCTATGGTTTGCGGAGTTTGCAAACTATAAAGATGTCGAAGCACTTCCTAAAGATATCACGTGGCAGCAGAAAAAGAAGTTCCTTCATGATGCAAGGAGGTATCACTGGGATAATCCCTTTTTATATTTCCAATATGCTGACGAAATTATTCGCAGGTGTGCAGCTGAATTTGAGATTCCAAATATCTTGTGGCATTGCCATGCATCAGACTATGGAGGACACTTTGGTGGAAATAGAACTACGCTGAAGGTGTTACAAAGTGGGTTATACTAGCCCACTATATTCAAGGATGCGCGAGAGTTCATGGAGAAGTGTGACAGATGCCAGAGGATAAGAAACATTTCCCGAAGAGATGAGATGCCTCTGAAATACATATTGGAGGTAGAAGTATTTGATGTATGGGGATTAGACTTTATGGGACATTTCCCTAAATCTTACTCCAATCAATACATCTTAGTTTTTACGGATTACGTGTCAAAGTGGGTAGAAGCAGTGGCTCTACCTACAAATTGTAAAGAAAGAATGGCTAAATAACAACACAAGAAGGGGGTGAATTGTGTTTTAAACTTTTTACAAATAACAAAGAAAAATTAAAAAACCCTTTTTCAAGAAAGCATGCAAAAGAGATTTAAGAATTAACAAAAATTCTCAATCCCTTAAACAAATTCATATTATCAAAAACAATGAATAAAAAAAGAGTAATATGCAGGGAAAAATTAAAAGATAAGGGAAAAGAAGATAGCACCGCGATGTATCCAGGTTCACTCTTCACCACTGATAGCTACATCCAGACTGAGGCAGATCGTTCCACTATCATCAAGCTTTCTACCGGTTCTTGAAGAAACCGTTTTACAAGAGGAATTTTACAAGAGCTGTGATCTACCTGATCACCCTTAACCTAAACCCTAGGATCACTCTTTTGAACAAAACCTCAATTGGAATTTTACAAGACTGTGATAAACCCCTTGATCACTCTTAACCTATACCCTAGAATCACTCCAATTGAACCAATCACAGCAGAACAACCTCCTCGAATTTAGAATTACAAAGAAATAGAAGAAGAAAAAGATTAAAAAGCTTTCTCTCTCTAGATATTAAACATATGCCCTATATGATGTTCTTATCAAACTATAAGAATTTCACAAGTTTAATTAACTCTTTCTTATGCTCTCTTAATTCTCAAAAGGAACTTATGGTATGGTATTTGTAATAGCCCGTTGTACACCGGTATTGTTAACATTAATTATGATATTAAGCGCAGTTACAATCACAACAATTCATTTATAAAAATGCGAATAAACTTTTTCCGTTATTACGCGAGTATTTAAAACAATAAGAAGCGTAATAATTAATAGCTGTGACCATAACTGTAACCTCTTGCGGAATACTTGTTTAAACTATTTTTATATCTTATTTTACTCAATACAAGACACTAAGGGGTTACCATAAACCCACTTAGCTAATTTCTCGATTTTACGTTTTCCACTCATCCGAACATGGTTCGGTTATTATTATTTCTGCGGACACACCGCACAAAACCAGTCCTTCCTATTTAGCTATCTTTTTTTTTTACTTAAATACCTTTCCAATGAACCGTCACATGAGTCATTTCGATCTCGTTTGCTCCGGATATCGCCGTTTGAAGTTGGACAAGCAAAACTGCCAACCAACCCCAAAACAGCTCCAAACATCCTTCACTCCATGAATTAATGCAGAAACACTGCTCACTCAATTTCTCTCAAATGTTTATACCATGAACTAGAAACCTCAATCTTAAATTTGATATATCATAAACTTAATTTGACCAAGAAACGAAGCGGGAATAAAATTCCCAAAAACTGCCAGAAACAGCCCTTGCACAGGTGCGTTCTGGACATTCCGTGTTAGCAGGTTCCTAAGGGCTTTTTGCAACCCATAAATTTCTCATATTTTAACATAATGTAGGGGACATATCAAGATTTAAAATGGCGTATGGCATGTCCCTATCGGACTTCTGTGGAGGGAGATATGCTCTCCCAAAGTTTTCCTAAATTCAGCCAATTCTACAGTAAATTCGCTAGAATTTCCTTTGTTTTTACAAAAATCCCCAATTTGCAAATGTGATCTAAGGCCTCAAATGTACCTAATAATCAATGGGTGGCACACGCAAGGACCAACAATGCCTTGGGCACTTGCAACCCAACTCATTTTATAGTTATTACACAATTTATATCATACTGCTCACTTGATTAATACTTAATACGTTTCAATCATCCAAGTCCATTTACATGCATTTTCTAGGCATTCACATATCCATAATCCTAAAATAGGCCTAAAGTCCTTCCATCATATTACGTTAAGTATCCAAGTGCAATTACAACATATTACAGCTTACGATTCCCTGACTTTAAATTACAACATGAAACATGAACTTTAATTTACAACTTGAAACATGAACTTCAAATGACATATACAACTAACTAGACTTAGGAAAAATGACATGAACAAATATGACTATGAAACTCATCCTACATACATATGGAATGTTCATGCCCTAAGTCTAGCCTAGGCCAAATGGCCATCAAAATGCAAAAAGTGCAAGTCCTCCAATGACTCATCCTACGGGCTTCTTGCCCGCCGCTCTCGTGCCACTGCTACCTCCTGAAATAAAGCCCCCAAGACGGGGTGAGATATACGAATATATCTCAGTAACCCAGAGGTTCTGAAAAAAAACTCCGCCCAATGGCTCACTTCGATGCATATAAATAATATCAAATAACCACTTTTCAAAACGGGATAAAGTAAGGGATGTAGAGAAACCGGGGAATATAGGAATACAAAATACGACGAAGCGGGAATGGTAGCTACCAATACCACGCAGCGTCCTCGGCATATAAGCCTATGGGTCTCATCCAAGGCGTGTTCCTAGAACATCCAACCAAGGTACCCCTCCCATCCGCATACACCCGAGACTTCCTAGTGTGCTCCTATCTGGATCACACACCACGACCTTGGGTCAACTGGAACTCCCTCTCGGAGACCTATCCAGTGGAAGTCTAAAACGTCCGAAGGCAAAAGCTGTCTACTGGCCAGAGACTCAGTACATCTAGTGTACCACTAACATACATAATAAATGCATGATCATGTTATTCTACACTACTCATATACATTTT